AAATAGATACATACTTATTCCACTATGGCCGAGTTTGACGTCAAAAATTGATATTTTGAACGGGTGGTCGGACCAAAAAGTTATGTATATCACTGAAAAGGTCTTCAAAAGTACATGTCATTTTTGGTACAAAGCATCAAAATAGGCCGGCATTTGGCCGTTGGAATTTTTCCGACCAAAATTGATTAAATGGCCATATCTTGGCCAAATGATGATCGATTTTGATGTTTCATGCTACAAATTTTTATTCATTTATTAACACCGCTAAAAAATTGGCTGAATAATTGGTTTTGCAGGAAAATGACTCCAAGAGTCATGAAAAACCTGATCTTTTGATTTTTATACAATTTAGGGTATAACAGTGAATAGTTTGATTTTACATAGTTATTGGTTCTCGACTAGGCAAAAGAATAACCTAATTAATGACTAAGCGAATGACCAAACATGAAATGTCTAATGAAAGCCGATTGTCAACGGTTCAAGATAATCTAACAACGCGTTTGAGAAAAGATAGATTAACTGGAGCGTTGAACCTATTAGTGTCGACCTCAATGTTTGCAAAAGTCATCGTTCAATTTATCGAATAGGTGGTAAATTGAAGAGAAGTTTTACGTCTAATCTAAACAAGTCCCTGTGGGTAGTTTTGATGTAAATAATATGTAATTTTTGAGATCTTTCCAACGATGTATTGTACATTCCATGGTTCTCGAAGCAATTTTCATACGTAATTCATCGAAAAATGTATATAGGCACACGAGGGACGATTTCACGTATAGCGCATCACACATGTTTATGCACGTATGTGATAAACTATTGTAAAAGATAGTATTTTGACAGTACTTCAACATAAGGGTAGCAATAATATTACCCAATGCGATATAATACTGATTACACTATCCTCCGAAAAAGACCGGAAACTGATTCACACTCCCAATAAAAAAAACGCATATTCTAACGGAGTTCAAAAATGATTCTATCTAGTGTAAGACTTTTAGAAAATCAGATTTTGAAAATAGAGAAGTAGGTTAAAACAAGACCGCAGATCGTCGTTTCGCTCCGCTCTGCGTTCTTGAAGCTTGTAAATTCAAGGGGTCCAATTAATTTGATGTTTCACATGAAATTATTATCGTAAGCACTACATGGAATGTAGATTTAATCATAGTATACTTTTTGTTCAACGGACGTAATATTTTCTGAAGACGACAAAGTTAACTGGGTGATGTTGGAAATGTCTGTTTCAATGTGAACGGTCATCATACATTATTTCACATTGGCAATGAAAAACGTGTCAAATTTTTTTTTGAGTTATCTCATAATTGAATTACGCTTACATAATATTATTTCATTTTTGAAATTAAGCGTAATTGTTTCATTTGAAATAAAAAAATATGGATATTAAAATGAACTAGTTTACGGTCCAAAAAAATGGCCTGAAGAGTCTTAAAAATTTCTCGTAAAAAAAATCACTACAGTAGCCTACATTCTATGTAGTGCTAAATAGCTAAATAGAGGACTTTGGTTTGAAATCGCAGACACGTTGTATTATTTAAACCCAGGGTAGAAACGAAAAACCCATCCATTGGTCCACGTTTGGCAGGTACACGCATCCTCTTTGACCGTCATTATTTTTTTCTGGACAACAACGAAAAGATCCGTATCGGGCGATTGTGTAGTGAATTTAGATATTTTTCAAAAGAACGAGGCGTTAATTCTTGCAGATTTTATACCATTGTGCTTTCAAGCAGTAGTGGAGATGTTACGTACTCAAATACACTGTACTTCAGTACTATTGATTGGTAAATAATCATGGTGGCTCCATATTATTGCAAAAAGCACAAATGGTATAAAGCCCTCACACGTTCTTTCCGAAATTATGTGAAAATAAACCATGACGTGAAAACATATAGGATAATTTATGTTTTTTGTAATTGCATTGCAACATTTGCATTTCTCATCATGTTAAAGGACAGAAGTGAGCTTTTTCAGTACGGGGCTATGATACTTTAGTCCGGACAGTCAAAGTTTCGAATGATCGAAAAAAAGTAATTAGAGTAACGTCACTTGACTTTGATGTACCGAATTCGATGATATTACAAAAGTAAACTATGAAGAACTCTTCATCAACTAGAAGAAATTTTTGGTTCAACTACACACGAATATTGACCAATCAAAACTCCATAACAGTGAAGAACCAATTAGCTGGCTAATTAGCCGCATAAGTGTATACAGTAAAACCTGTCAATAACGGAACCTGGGAATAGTGGAAATCGTGTCAATAGTGGAAAAAAAATTTGGCCGTTGAGCTCTCCCATACAAATTGACCTGTTAATAACGGAAAACCGAAACTCCGAATAGTGGAAAAAAATTTCTTGACGAAACTTTTTTCGTCTTTTTTCCGTGTCTTTTTCATTTAAAACTATATTTTTTCCTTTATCAAAACCAATGATCATCATAAAAATCCTGCAGTACGATGTACATTACATTGATTTCAGTATCATGTTTTACTTTCGTCTGCCGAAATCATTGCTTACTTCATGCAAATAAATTTTTGATGCTCCCAATAAAAACACATCCACTCGATTGGCGCGTGCTATTCAGTATATTTACAGTTAGTTTGAAAATCATTGTTTCGTTTCATGAAATGCAGAATTTATCGCTGCCAATTTGGCAGTGAAAGAAATGAGTATCATTTACTTTCTCATTTTGAACCACTGTTTAGACCAGAGATTGCATATTTGCTGCTGAGTAGGCCTGAGCTGAGCTGAATTTGCTAACTCAGGCGCCTGAAGCGGTATTTTAGCGCACTTACGGTGTAAAATTGTTGTGGATCGCTGGTATCCACCCAAATATAATTGATAAACAGCGTGGATTCCAGCGATTCATAACAATTTTGCACCGTAAGTGCGATAAAATACCGCTTCAGGCGCCCGAGTTAGCAAATTCAGTTCAGCTCAGGCCTACTCAGCAGCAAATATGCAATCTCTGGTTTAGACTGCTTGATTGTTCTAAATAATAATGTTTGTCATTCACTGTTTTTTTTCTTCATTTTTCGTTCTTTCTTTCATTCATTTATTGAAAAATACTTTTATTTCAGTATTTCCTTCTCACCATTATTATATCACTTGATATGATCATTAAATACCCATAAAAATGTATGCTTCGGTTTTTTTGTTTCTTTTTACCCTCAATAATGGAAAATCATGTTTGGTTCGACTCAAAAAACTGTCAATAACGGAACCTTTGAATAGTGGAATTCGTGTCAATAGTGGAAAAAAAAAATTCCCCATGGGATTCCGTTATTGACAGGTTTTACTGTACTGGCTAACGAATGTGTAGACCAGTGAGAAAACTTCACTAAGAACTGAACGCACTCATCTGAACTGACGTTTGTGACTGACATTTAAATCACCAGGTCAGAGTTTAAATGAAACCAAACATCGACATTTTTTTATTGAGTTTTTGAAAAAATAATAACTCAAATTATAAAAATGACTTTTAAATTGAAAATTAATTAAAATATTTTTTTTTTAATTTGTATGATTTGAATCAGAATACTCAAATTAAAAATTATTATACTTTAAATGTGTTCATTTCACACAGATAGCTGGCTAACGATTGGCTTACACCAGTTGTTGGTGTAAGCCAAGGCTAAGACAATGCTGGCTAACGAAAGACCATCACTGCTCCATAAAATCCGTTTCTTGCCATAGACCAGTCCACTTTGAATGTGCAAAGGGTTTTGATGGTGCCTACATGTGCATTGTGCATTCCCTGCGAATCGAACACAGTTAAAAACGATAGTCTACATCTGAGCTTTTTTTTAGCTCAAGACGCATTTAGTCCATATTTAAACCGTAATCTAGTCGGAATTTCGCCTGAAACTCCATTTGTTAGGTGAAATATTAGACTGGTGCCTCTACAGGTCGAAATTCCGTCTAAATGTGGACTTTTATTTTAGACTGTGAATGTAAATGTAGATAATGGCTAACTTTCATTGGTAATTCGTCATGTAACGATCATTTCCTCATATTTTGTCTCTTGTGGTTTCTAAAATTAAATAATGATGAAATGTTGATTTTCGATTGTTTTGCTTCGAGTTTTTTATTTTCAGAATAAATAATTCGGTGTCCCATAACCGGGTATAATTATTTATTCGTCATTTTCAAGCCTGTTGGCAAAATGACCACAAAATTTCGATTTTGAATTAGAACAACTAACTTTTTTTGGAGAAAAGTTATCTATGATCAATGATCATTACCTTTCGAACGGTACACTGCGAAAAACTTTTCTGAAAAAATAACAGATGGCGTTTGTAGATGGTTAGTTTCCAAACTTTTTTATATGGAGTTGGCGAATTGTCCAACTTTTTCGGTAATATCGTATTGCAGAAATAGTTTGACAATTCACAGACTCCATATAAAAAAGTTTGGAAACTAACCATTTATAAATGCCATCTGTTATTTTTTCAGAAAAGTTTTTCTCAGTGTATATAAGGTTCGAAAACACATTTGATAGAATATTTTTTTGGCCAAAATTCAGAACCCGTCTCACAACAGGGTTCATTCCCTACTACAGTACATAAGATTATAAAAAAGCTTATAACCTTTGAAGTCCAATCTAAAAAAGTTCCTGTTAATAGTTTTGAATTTACACTTGATATCGAGACCGAAAGGTACATACATTTTAAATTAATTTACTTATGAACATTGACTCAACTTAACTAATTTCCATTATAAACAAATAGTAGGGCAAAACCAATAAATATGCCTTAGAGAAAAGTACGCGCGCGCCTTATGTATTTCGTTATTTGCAGATTTTCGTACTGTAAAGAATCAAAGGAGAAGAAATTAGAAAAACATGCAAAAGTCTTCTTCATCCTCAACATGAAAACGAATTAGTCATCACAGAAAAAACAATTAAGATTATTTTTCTTTTCTCTTTTGTTATTGTGTTATTATTTTAGACCATAATTCAACGTAATATATCGTTTCCCCCAATAGGATCAAGAGAATACAACAATTTCTGCTCTTAGGCCAAATGAAAAATTGTTGGTGAATGGAAAAGACTTCAATAACGATCAACCAGTAAAGATATCAAGAATTGAGCTGGTCGAAAATAAATTGAATGCAAGCCTACCTCCAGAGCCTAGGTCTACCTCACAACAGTTGCAACACAACAGTTTACAATCAAATCCAAGGGAAAAAGAAAATCATGAATGCGCTCAGTCATCAATTGTTACTGCAGACTACATTCAACAAAGTAAGAAAGAGTTAAATGAAATTTCATGTGCAGAGAATGTTATATTTAAAAAAAACCTCTCTAACATATGAATGGGTAAGAGGAATAATACAACGTGATTTTTTACTTTTCCGTAGTACGGAATCCGTACACATACACACAGAGAACAAATGTATGTCGAATCAGTTTTAATTCATTATCACTTGATTTGCATTCTGTAATAAATACGAGTGACGTCACCATTTATCTTTGTCATTCAAAAACGCCTTCGAAAAATATTGTATGAAAGAGTGCCCCACGAAAAATGTTCAATTAGAATCGTCCCGCAATTTTTTTTCCAGCTGAAATTGCACATGAATTTTTTTCGCATGAAAATATAAATTCACGTGTCGTTTATTCAGACAATATTTCTGTGAAGCATTTTTACTGAAATTTTTTTTGGGGGCATTTCAATTCACCAAAAAATCCCGTTGTATTATTCCTCTTACCTATATGTCTATGTTTTTTCTATATGTGTAAAGGGTGTTTCAACAAGCACACAAAAAGATATTGTTAAATAAAACATACAAATTCGATTGGAATTGCTCAAACCTTCATTGTATGTTGTAGTTCGGCCCATTACAAACGTGTTTCAAAGTGAATATTATGCAAATGACCGTATGGCGCATTTTAATTATGGCCTGTTTTAGAGGCCAAATTTCACCAAATTTTTTGCAAAAACACGTCTACGGGACTCGCAGTTAACTAATTTATCACCGAACAGCCAAAACAATGGTCCAATTTTGAGTAATTTGTGAATTGAGTGTCCAACCTATCCAATTGGCGCCCAAATTTTCTGATATTTTTGAAGCTCGATTCAGATTTAGTTGTTTTTTGACGATTTTTCAAGGACATATCATCGTTGAATTAAGTTGTCTATATAATCAGTGCCCCCAGCTGTCATTTGAGAGTATGAAACCCAATAATTGTCAACGCAATTTTTGCAAAATTGACCAAAGTCGGCGATGATGGCCAAAAAAGGCCTGTTGGCTATGTCTCAAAAACGGTGCGGAATTTAACTTTGTTGTTGAGGCAAATTTTCGGCTCAAGTTAAGATAAAAACTTTTAAGAATAAATAAAACTAGAAAAATTAGTTTTTGAGAAGTAAAAAGCAAGATGTTAACATGATATTTTGACTTTTTTGAAATTGAAAAATACACCCATCCCACCACGAAAGATTTCACGATTTAAACGCGCTGATATTTTATTTATGTTGATGTGGTAAAAATTTTCATAGACTGGGGCTTTCAAACGACAGTTCATTTTATCATTTCAGGTCAGCCATCTTGGATTCCCCATTGAAAAACTTTTTGCGTGCCTGTTGAAACACCCTTTATGTTTTCTGGTCGACTAATATTTTGATAAAGTAGAGTATGTTTCACTCGTGTTTTTTGGCGATTTCTATTTTAACCTTCAAACCGTGAAACCTATTTTCTAACGTTGTTCGTGAAACCGGTGCCTGAGTGCCCATAATGCATTTGTCAGTTTTTTCTTGAATTTTTATTTTTAAATGTAAATATTACAGTATTTATTGATGGGAAAAGTATGAAAATCACTTCGAAATGTGATGAAAGTCATAAAAAATATGAAAGACAACAGCAAGTTTTTTGGATTTGTTTTTTAATAAAGTGGAGATTGCAATGTTGATCTCTTCACAAAAATGAAGGCAAAAACATATACCTACAAATTCCACTATGGCCGATTTTGACGTCAAAAATGTAGATTTTGAACGGCAGGTTGGATCAAAAAGTTATGTATATCACTAGAAAAGTAGATTCCATTTTTTATATAAAACTTCAAAATAGGCCGGCATTTGGCCAATATTTGGTCGTTAGAATTTTTTGGCCAAAATTGATAAAATGGCCATATTTTGATAAAATGATGATCGATTTTGATTTTTTATAGCTCAAATTACATGTACTTTTCAAGATCTTTCCAGTGATGCATATTTCATAGTTCCCACATTAAATTTTATACGCAATTTGTCGAAAAATGTATATGGGCACTCAGGCACCCATTTCACGTATAGCGCATCACACATGTTTATTTCATTAATTTATGATAAGAAATAATTAGGTTTTAAACATTCAAAGTTGGTTTTGGGCACACTGTGCCCATTTCACGGTTTGAAGGTTAATGACAAAAAACATGCAAAAACTAAAATATTCAGCCTGCTTTTGGCGGTGTCAATAAAAAACTAAATACTAATACTAAAAATATCGAATTGGTGTCTTCGCAAAAATTGTTCTGTTTCTCTAACTGTACAACTTTGCAGAAGACTTCCATCGTATATCAGTTGAAATTAATATTTGAAAATTTGCTCACCGCTTGAAAACATACTCTACTTTTTCCAATATGAAGTCTTTCAGATGTCAATTTATCTGCCCATGTCTTCAAAATCAGCAAAGTGTATATAGGAAGAAAAAATCTTTAATTTGATATATAGGGGAAGGTGGGAGCTTGAAGTCGTTGGCCCCACCCTAATTTGGTGCTGGCTGATCGTAAGTACTATCATTTAGTGCTACTTTAGTGCTGTCGATTGGCACCTACCACGAATTTGGTGATGCATCCTGAGCCCAGAACCAAAATTTTTAAAATTGGACCCTGGTTATTTTCTTCACTTTGTATGGGGGCCACCCTAACGCTCGACTTTTTTGATTTCGATCCTGGTCCATAATTTAGTGCTATTTTGGTACTGACGATTGACACCTACCATGACTTTGGTGCTGCAACCCAGCCCTAGCACCAAAATCTTCAAAATTAAGAACATGCCATTTTCGTCATTTTCGACATTTTGTATAGGAGCCACCCTAATGATTGGCTTTTCAGATTTCGCACATAGCCTATAATTTAGTGCTATTTTAGTGCTGACGATTGACGCCTACATACACGCCATTCCAGCCCCAGCACTGAACTCAAAAAGAAAATTTTGAATGTCATTTTCGTCATTTTTATCATTTTGTTAGATTCCATGTCACCAGCACCGCCCGGGAATGGTGCTCATAAACCATAACTAATGCTCAAATTGCAATTGGACTCATGAATAGTGCTGTTTGGAAACGCTATCACTATTCGTTGAAAGTGAAAAAGGGCGTTTTTGGGTACTTTTGTAGGGAACGTATGTGAAATACTGTTTTTTTTTGTACAAAATATACACCAAAAGTTAGTGTTCGAATAGTGCTGGCAGACAGTGAGACATTTTTCCAAGAAAAAGATCTGTAATGCTATTTATGTTAATAACATACTCAAGACATATTGAGCGTTCGTAATCACAAGAAACTTCAATCCATGGCAACAAATGAAACTATAAAAGGAACGCGACCGAAGCGAGCGGAATTTTTGGTGTAGTTTTCTAGTCTTTCAATTTGGCTTATTATATCTTTCTTTTCGGCTTTCATTTCGGGGGCGCGCAAGCAAGGAACTCTTTATTAGTTAGTATTTATGACTCAAATCGAAAAATAGCTCCGAACTGCCCGAGCATCAAAAGTACTCTCTTGCAGAGACAATGAAAACTCGCGCCCTTACTTCTCTTGTTCAATTTGAATTTAAAATAACTAAAATAAATCAAATGACGGTGGGGCGCTTTCAGCTTTCGCCTTTTTCTTAATTTTTTTTTCAATTATTATTATTCAATGAACGCGTTCGCTACCTTGTAAAAAAATCCCTGCTGGCAGATGTCAGATCTAGATTGCAAAAATCTTGTCTGGAAGCCGAGCACAAATCGTCTCCATGACTCCTGTTCGAAAAAGTTATACAGTGATTATAAGTGAGTCATAATCGGAGCCATTCATTTGTACAAAGTGTTAGAAGAAACTACTTGTTTCTTGTTCTTTGGTTACGATAGAACTGAACTTCATTGGATTCTCGTTTTTCTTATATACAATTTAGTAGTGCTTACAGTGTAGACAACATTGTCTTATATCTTAAGAACAAGTTCAATAGTTGAATATTGATAACCATTGACCAATATTGCTTTATATGATGAAGTGACTTTAAATAACAGTATTTCCATAAAGGGATATTTCAAGTTAAGTTTTAGTGCAAGGTACTAAATCAATTATGTTTGCTTATCAATTTGCTTGCATTACAAATTCATATTATTTTAACACAAAGTGAGTCAAAATTGATGTGACTCGCTCTTCAGGAGTCATAAGAAACGAGTTAGATTCTGACTCCATCTTATAGGCAGTGAGTCAGTCGAGTCAAAGAGTCAGATTCGATATCACTCATTGATTGCGTGAGTGTGTCGGAAAGTCATGACTTACTGTTTTGCACACCACTATTATGCAGATTTTTGATGATTTCCCTCGAATTTCTGCTCGTCATTGCGAGGTGCCATTTGAATGCGCGGTTTTTTGAATGAAATTTGATAAGAAGTCCATGCGATTTGACAACATAGTGAAATTTGGGCTAATTTTTTTCGTATGAAAAAACTCTTGCAAATTTCTATCATTTTTTCCGTTTTATTTACAACTGCTGTGCTTTGATTTTGGACAAATTGTTCATTCTTCACATATGATTCAAAATATCTACTGAAAGTTCACCATTAGAAATGGTCAAAAATAACAAAATGACGAAAATGACATTCAAAATTTTCTTTTTGAGTTCAGTGCTGGGGCTGGAATGAAGCAACAAGGTGGTGGTAGGCGTCAATCGTCAGTACTAAAATAGCACTAAATTATAGGCTATGTGCGAAATCTGAAAAGCCAATCATTAGGGTGGCTCCTATACAAAATGTCGAAAATGACGAAAATGGCATGTTCTTAATTTTGAAGATTTTGGTGCTAGGGCTGGGTTGCAGCAACAAAGTCATGGTAGGTGTCAATCATCAGCACCAAAATAGCACTAAATTATGGATCAGGATCGAATTCAAAAAAGTTGAGCGTTAGGGTGGCCCTCATACAAAAAGTCGAAAATGACATGCAAAATTTTCTTTTTGATTTCGGTGCTAGGGCTGGGTTGCAGCACCAAAGTCATGGTAGGTGTCAATCTTCAGCACCAAAATAGCACTAAATTATAGACTGGGTTCGAAATCAAAAAAGTCGAGCGTTAGGGTGGCCCCCATACAAAGTGAAGAAAATAACCAGGGTCCAATTTTAAAAATTTGGTTCTGGGCTCAGGATGCATCACCAAATTCGTGGTAGGTGCCAATCGACAGCACTAAAGTAGCACTAAATGATAGTACTTACGATCAGACATCACCAATTTGGGGTGGGGCCAACGACATCGAGCTGAAGGTGGGGCTATAACTCCCTGCCTTATTTGACCGCACCATTTTATTCGCGGTTTGAAATAAAATAAAATTGGTAGTGCCAATAAAGATGGAGATGAGATCAGAGAGGACCGAATGAGCGCGCGAATCATTGATTATATTGGTACTACCAATTTTTTCGTGATCAGAAATGGAAATAAATTGATCGAGTGAAATGCAAGCATCGGTTCGGGCATAGAAATATGTTTACCTAGATGTTCTATACTGCATAAATATGCCGAGCATAGACGCGTACGGACGACCGTGCGACGAACGTATCACCAGAGCCATCGTTGTTTGCTATGTATTGTATTCATACACACACTAACGCGTGCATTTGCAATACACGGGCCGACCGTCCATTGCGAGACGCACGCGTTAGTGTGTGTATGAATACACAGCAAACAATGATGGCTCTGGTGATACGTTCGTCGCACGGTCGTCCGTACGCATCTATGCTCAGCATATTTATCTTGTATATTTCTATGCCCGAACCGATGCTTGGTGAAATGAGCGAGCTAAAGCGAAGATTTGGTGCACTTCTATCACAGCCAGCGACAGCAGATGCGAATGGTTAAATACCCAATTGCTGAAAGTTGAACTCGCCTATAAACACGCAATTTTTTTTATATATGTCTCTTTTATATATACGTCTCACTAATGATATTCAGTCTTATCACCACTGTGCAGTAGCACAGTAAGCCGCAGGGAACAATAACATTATTTGCAAACTAAAGTGCATCCAAATATTGAGCACCAGTGTAGATGCACGCTCCAACAACATGAATCGTAAATGGAAGATATTCAGCAAATGATGCTCTAGCGGCATCTATACGGTAGAGTTTGGAAATTGGATTAAATGATTTCGTCACAAGGTTTACCCAAATATTGGAAATGGTATTTGTCAAAAATGACATTTCAAACGTCATTCATGATTCATGTTAGTGAACTTCCGATAGGGACAAACAGAACTCTGAAAGGTTTTGGATCTGTTGAATATAATAACATTGTGCTTCACAGCGTTGGCACGCTCGTAGTGCAAAGGGCACGGTCGTGGACGCACTAACCTTTCGCTCACATTGTCGAACATTGAGTAGTGCCAAACATTGTCGTTGGAATGTGTAGCGCTGTTCGTTTGACAGCTACTCGATGAGACTACCGGTGCGCAGTAAACTATGAATTGGTATAGTGTAATACACTAATGGGCCAATGGATGAATTTAGGCGGCTTTAAGGCAATTTTTAGAATGTACTTATAGCTGCCGAGAAAAATGTACTGATGGCCGTAAGTCACGCGGTCCAAATCTAGCGAGCCCTCAACTAGGGTTTACAAACGTTTCGACAAATACCGCAAAAGGTGTTATAAAAACGTTATTTTTCTGTAGTGTTTTTTTGATAGTCCAAAATACCGCAGAAATAACGATAAAAAACGAAAATTTGGGCGTTATATAACGGCTCTGTAAAAAAACGTTTTTGAGAAACACTAAAAAAAATAACGCGTTTTTAAACTCTACCCATCAACAGCTGTGTAGGAGACTACTAGTCTATTTTTAATTTTTCCCAACTATACAACTTGATTTTTTAACCTGAACAAAAATTTTTTCAGCAATTCAAAATGCTCTGCGACAAGGGAATTTGAATCCGGAAATAGAAGAAAAACTTTTGAATTTACAACGATGCCATGAAAAGCAAATGAAAGCTACATCGATTGTATTGGCAAACAATCATCATGAATATACCTCACATATGAGGTCACCCTCATATCGCAAACATCCTCTAAATCGGCAGATGGAAGATGATGAAGATTGGATTATGGAAACACCGAAGCGGAGGCCACCGCGAACCTTATCCGAAAAAAAAATCACGCAAAATTCATCTGTATGTGAAAGTGACGTAAATCGAATTATTCGATCTGTGGCTGAGGAGGCAAGCAGTTCTGAGGTGATAAAATCGCCAGTCTTCAGTGATAAACAAAGCACAACTAGGCCAACAGAATGTGCAGTCGTAACTGAGACAATGAAAGGAAACACAAATGACGCTAATGTTATTAGCCAAACTAACGAAATTGGCCAAACTAAACGTTCAGTAACTATAAAAAGGGATAATGAGAAGAAAAAACAAATGCAGGTATAAATCTTGAATTACAGATTTTTAATGGAAAAAAAAATTCAATTATATAATTCTAGAATTAATGATATTTATAATTTAACATAATAACAAACTTTGTCCGATTTGATCAACAGATGAAATTATATCGCCAGAAAGAGCAACTGAAGAAAGATATTTTGAAGAAACGCATCGTACTCGAAAAAGAATTGCAAAATGAAATTCAAAAAGAGCTTGCGAGTGAGCTTGCTAGTCAGAAAAAGGAAGTATTAAATGAATCACACAAGCCAGACAAAGCAAATAATATATCTGATAATGTTGTGAATTTTTCCAAAAAGCGGTGAGTGTCTTTACAATCTGTACGATGTACGTATTTGTAAATATTTTTCAATAATTTTTAAATCCTATATACGTTTGATAGTGTCAGCATTGCATCATCGAAAAAATCAGCTTCTGAGGAGACGCAAAATGTTCAAACGAAGAATATAACGAACGAAATGCCACGGAAGCCTATAGGACACAATTCATCAAAACAAAAACGACGATCGCAAAAGTTTTCAAGTTTGACTAAGAAAAAGAAAAAGCTATATTGTATTTGTCGCACACCTTATGATGATTCCAAGTAAGTTTCATTCAACACGGAAAGAGGAATGAAATAATCAAATTTTAAAAAACAAATGAAGTTTCTATTCTCCACGCAAATCATAGCGACATAAAATATTATATATACCATCATTCAATAGAATTTCATTTCAAAGGTGGTGTGTTTTTGGTTGAATTCAATTGAGCAATATTTTGTACAGGTTGAAGTCAATCCATAGTTCAAGGAACTCAATTCTGAATCACAATGTTCAATATCGTTAAGAACTTCAGAAATTAGAAAACCCAATTAGAAATGGTCTCGGGACATTTCATTTCTAATTTGCGGGGGCGCACTGTATTAATACTTCAAATCAAACAAGAGCGCCGATGTGGAATAACCATCAAAGGAGTGTTGAAGTAGTTGTGGATATTAATATTATCTCATTAAAAAAATTGTTCTCAACTACCAAAGCTCTTGATCTAAAATCAAAAGTAGTGACGCGATATTTTTCCTTATTGTGAATAAATTTTCACAATAGTGAATGCGAAAAAAAGTTTGAACTTCGTATCCAGTAGTATAATACAGCGTCCTAGCGTCACTCAAAATGATATCAGACTTTTTGAGCGGTAAATTCCTAGGGGGAAAGAACTATTGGCATATTTGCTCTATTGACAAGTATTGACAAATATTCACAGGCATTTGCACTGCGTTCCGTAGTGTTATTGTTGTTGTTTTCTTCTGTTGCTTCGTCTTGTTCGTGGCGAGAACGAATGACAGTTGCAAATACGCACATTTTATTGACCATATTTGCATGCATTCGCAGCTAGCTATTCAGCGTTTTGACACGCATTGACGCGTATTGATCCAAATTCGGTAGAATATGCGATTATTTACAATATATGTATTTTTATTTATTCACTCTATTTTAACCTCGTCCAGAGGTTTTTAATGTATAATACTAAAATCCAGTTTTCGGCGTTTGTGACAAATTTCACCTTTTACGTAAAATTGTATTTTCAAACTCAAAGCGATATCTTCGAGTATCCAAAACGTACTTACACCTAACAATATCTGAGGTAGTTTAGTCTGTATCTTCATAGAAAAGGAGTATCCTTTGATTGAATACTAGCGTTACCCTGCGTGCTTCGCTACGCTCTTAGTATGCATTGAATGATGATAAAATTTATTTCTGTTATGAATAATCGATTGTTTATGAAAATATTGGGTGTATAACTTTGCTCCCGCCGTTTTCCAACAGATGGCTCCAGCGGTAAGTGCTGGTGAAAAATATCAGCTCTAAAACGTCATACGGTAAGCTTGGGCATCTGTAAACAATACTGCATCGTTAGATTTGTGAATTTTTATCGACATCATATTTTTTTTCAATTGAAAATGTCAACTTTTGAGCCAAATTCGCGTCATTTGCGCGAAATTTTTTTGGGACGGAATTCATAAATTGATTGAATTGTGGGAAAAAGTCATAGCAATTTTTCACAATAAAGCCTCAAAAATTGAAAAAAACGGCGGAATCAAAGTTATACAACCAATGCACAAAACATCAAGAGTGCAGGTGTTTCCGAAATATGTTAATGAGTCCACCAAAAATGGTCAATTTGTATGAAAAATACCTAGTGGTTCCAATTTTTTGCACGGTAGTGTATATATATATATATAAAATTACACGGTTTTTTATATGTTCAGGTAGGTCAGTTTTAATATGATATCATATATGTATAGATTCGATTTCATTTATCTTTCAATTGAACCCGTGAGCATAAAAACAACGTATTGACTCTTCGCCGATGAATACGAAACGCAAAAAAATCGCCGAACAAAGTGAAACACCAATCTGTTATTGGATCAATATGAAACATGAAATCGTTGGCCACTATTTTATTTACGTTGCGCTTTGTTTCGAAGCGCGGCAAGTGTTTCATTTTGTTCCAGTAACAGAACGTTGTATCACTTTGTTCGGCGACGCGCTCAATGTACTGTTTTGAAAAAATATGCATGATTTGATACAGTTTTGTGCGAGTGCAACATAAATTCTGTTCGCTTGAAAGTGAATCGTGAAATATCGGCTGACTATAGAAATTGTGTTTCACTTTAATTGAAACAAAAATGTTTGATACAATTTTGAGTCCATTGGTATGATGATTCATTTTAATGGTGGTTTTGGTCGTGATTTGTCTATGAAGTGAAAATTAACTGATAAGGAGCGCGAATTTCGATGTGCCGATAACACCAATAGAGCAGAAAAAATACTATATGAAAATCGAAAAAAATTTAAACTTTTTTTTTCGACTGTTGCCTATTTCGGATCGTCTACATGGGAAGTTTGTATGAAATCCTCGGAACGCGGGTTCACGCCGCTGTGAATACATTGGTTTATATAGTGAAATCTATACATGGCCAAAACACGGACGCAAAACACCCATTCTATTTCGCTCACACTTACGTGCAATTTTTACCCGTATAACAAAGTAGTCTGCTTTACTGTTAAAAAGATGTGCGCAGTAAAGAAACAAGAACGTACATGTTTCAGCAACGTTAAAGTGCACGTAAGTGTGAGCGAAATAGAATGGGTGTTGTGTTAAAATGAATCATCATACCAATGGACTCAAAACTGTATCAAATCATGCATATTTTTCCAAAACAGTACATTGAGCGCGTCGCCGAACAAAGTGA